TCCTGGACAAAGTTCAAAGTGTAAAAATAAACAAAGGGGAATAATTAAAAAATTAGGCAAGGCAGAGTTACGGTTCTTGTGCACTGCAAACCTACTCAATGAGATCTATCTACCTACAAAGTTTCATGTTGATACCACTTATAGTTTTAGAGTTATTTCCCAGACAAAGTTCAAAGTGTAAAATAAACAAAGGGAAATTATTCAAAAATTAGGCAAGGCAGAGTTACGGTTCTTGTGCACTGCACACCTACTTAATGAGATCTATCAACCTACAAAGTTTCATGTTGATACATCTTATAGTTTTAGAGTTATGTCCCGGACAAAGTTCAAAGTATAAAAATAAGCAAAGGGAGATAATTAAAAAATTAGGCAAGGCAGAGTTACGGTTCTTGTGCACTGCATACCTACTCAATGAGATCTATCTACCTACAAAGTTTCAAGTTGATACCTCTTGTTGTTTCAAAGTTATGTCCTGGACAAGAAAAGCGGACGGACGGACGAAATTTTTCGGGGAGCATAAAAATATGCAAATGCAAACCTGCTAAGATAAAACAGAAAAATCTGTTTCTTTGTGATCACTTTTCATGGTTAACAAGTACGAGGCTTATTCTCCAATATGAAATAAAAAAGCATTGTATTTTATTATGATCATTATGAAAAAAGGGCACTTTTAAAAGAAATTCATAAAAGTATAACTTATTATGAGAAGAAATATTAACAATATTCCGTTACTATTAAAGTCCTATCAATTAACCAATTTTTTCAACCCTGTAAACTTTAGTGCAAGGTTTGGTATTGTTCAACAAATAAATTATTTTATTAAATATCATATAAATATCAGGTATTCTCAAACATGGAGAAAAATAAAATTTTATAACTTATGATTATTTCATTTGAAGAATACTGTTCTTACCTTATATTATCTGTAAGAGTTTGAGTAGTTTATCAGATGAGAATATATTATGACGAAAGTAGCAACGACCAGTTTTTGTGTTCTCTTTTAACAAAACGTGAACGACCGTTAAATCTTTTTTTAATACATGTCAATTCGTAATAATTTGTCCTTCTATGCTATAAAAATAGACATGCAAATCGCTTATTATATGCGGCATCATGCGACTATATTCATATATGAACGCATTTTGCAGAAAAAAAACAATGAGTAGTGACTGACAAAATATGGAACACAGTCTAATCATAATGTTAAATCAAACTTAGGTCTGTGATTAAAATTCAAAACGTAAATTGTATTTTGATTGCAAAAATGAGAGGGGAAAATTACATTTGCGCATGGTGTACTTAAATGCACCTATTTTGATTCTAATGCAAACATTTGATAAATTACAAATTACATTGCAATATGCATTCCCACAGCTTTTGAATGCCGTGAATATTCTATATTATTATATGATCTAAATATAGCTGCAATCTCATTGGTCCAAACAGTAGTCAACATAAGTTTTTATAGAATCATATTCACTGGGTATAGTATCATATTCACTGGCTGAATTAGATTTTCCCAGTCTAAAGATAGATTGAGACTCATATTCAATGACCATATATCGTAGACTGATAATTAAAAAATATTGTTTGCATTTTGTTCTTTATGGTATATTTCTCGATTAAAATATCATTACTTTACAATTATAGCTAAAAGTTACACCGCAATGATGAGTATAAACTTAAATTACTTTTGTATGCGCAGCGTTCGGTAGTTGTTGCACGCCTTTCATTGCTTTTTCCCCGCGCTTTAAGGAAACGTTATAAAAGTACATATCATAATAATACAAAGTATAAAAAGTGATATTAAGGTGTACGATGTAAAGTCCATGTCAGTCCGGCAAATATAAAGTACATATTTTATAATCCTCTATTGCTTTTTATACAATAAATACAGACGCATCTTGATTTGAAAAGGCAGCATTTGCTCAACCAGAATTTCACAATATGACAGAATTTACCTACCTAATCATGTCTTTATGCGATGATATAATAACCATCCTTACATCATTAAATATATTCGTTCATACCTACTCATTTCCTGGAGAGATAAGCTTTTGTAAGTTCTATCTTTTTGCCATTTTCTAAAAGAAACCTCCATATTTTAATATGATATTGTTAAAGGTATTATTAATTTCTGCTGTGTTTGTTAATATTTACTATCATCTTTTCAGTTATTTCTATTATTGTGTATGTTATATATAGATACTATGTTTAAAAATAAAAATGTCACTCACTAACTTGTGTTTGGTTGTTTCTTTTTAGCGGTAGTCATACATTATACCTTATTGGTGATTGGGACCATAGTACTTCAAAGGCATCACGTTTCAAAAACGGCTCTTGTTAGCACCACCCTTAGTCACGACAGGTCAACCAATCGTCTCTGGCACTGGAGATGAATTGACCTTGACCTGTCGTTTGCCTTCTGCCTCGGGAGGGATTCGGATAGCTATAGCTATGTCATGCATTCGCAGTTTTTATGATGGTCGATGAAAGAAACGATATTGCGGGATGAGCTGGCTAATAAGAATCGTTATTTGTATCAGCATCCGTCTAACAGTACTTAAACAAATCAGTTCATTGGTGTTCGGGCGATCAAAACAAAGTAAAATTCTCTTTTTAACCCGCCTCAAACCCAAACCCCACAAGTCCAATGTTGTACTAATTGGCATCCCCTTTTTTCCTTCCTTACTCCACAGTTCTGTAAAGGGGCATATATTCTAAAAGAAACATCTTTTCTTTCATTTGATCTGAATTACAATTGCATTTGTATTTCTTGAGTTAATAACTTTTTGCAATCAATTTTGTGCTTGTGTTATTGTATATGCAGCAATGCTTTCTTTCTAAAGGTCAGGCCATTTCCTTGGGTTATTTTGCGAGAGAGATATCCACATTTTAATATGATTTTAGTTTAATATTCATAATTTTGAGGAGATTTTTTTGCAAGCAATATTGAATGTCACGATTTTCTAGAAAATTGCGATTCCAGCAAGATATATGTTTAGGGGTTTAATGTCATCAATAACATTTTCATTTTGTTATATGAATGCTAAAGTCAAAAGAACCAAAAGTATAAAGTGCTTATATGAATTCATTCTGGTTACCTTACTTTATAACAATAACACATTTAGAAAACACATGAGGTGGTGAAATGTGAAAATGTCCCAACACAACATAATATAACATCTTCATGACACTTTTATCAACCTGTAATCCGTGTTCCTACTAAGGTTACATTTTCAAAGCACACTGGTCATATTTTGTGAAAACTGTCATAACAATAAAATAGTTTAGTAGAAAAAACTGAACGGGCACGACGTATGGGAGATTTCTGAAACTTTGTTACTGCCCAGGTATTAACGTACAAAGTTAATTTAATATCGCTTTGTCTTCGTGTTGACATACCGGTCTGGCATTTTTATGACTCGAATACCCTTATCGTTGAGGATTGAATACCGCTTAAGCCGCTTAAAACTAAATAAGAAAGTCTGAGAGTTTAAACTATTTATTTTTTGTTTATATTGCTTTCAAGGTAAAACACTTGTACAGAGATATATTCATTATTAGTGTGCCCTACCAGGGTCTTTCAGGTAGAATTCTATTAGGATGACCTTGGTTCTACTGGTTGTGAGATGATAAAATTTTGAATTGATAGACCAAGATGTTTTACTTTTTTCATCAAAAGTCATATGTTATATGTAAGAATAATGGTTAAAAAAAATAGATTATTAAACTCATCATTAGACTTAATGCTCCGAAATCGCCTAAAGTATGTCTGTAGTTTCCGTACGCTCCATATTATATACAACCGTTACTACTTCAAAAGAAAAAGTGAACGGAGTGACCGATGCGCTGGAGATTAAACGTATTTTCCGGAACAACCGCGTTGATAGTATATAAATAACACATGGGTTTGTGGGTAACAGTAAAAATATCATCCCGAGGAAAATACTGTTACCCAGTTTGTCTAACTGTAACAAAAATAAGCCAAGAGAAGCAATAACTAAACTGTCCTTACCTTGCAAGTTTTAAGTGCACTGTACTGTAGGCCTACTTGAGAAGATGTTTTTCTTTTATTCCTTATGCAAGTGATGATATCTACCAGTCATAAAGATAAAATAAGCTGTGTTTTGTTCAGAAAACAAAACACTAACCCATTTATAAGGTCATGACTCATGATCTGTGAAATCTGATCCTTCTGCATCCAGAATATTCTTCGCATAGTTTTTGACAAAGTGCATTTAGAAAATAACGACTGGTCCTACACGATGATTCTGCAAACTTTGTATGCTCGAAATTAACGGTAAAATTTAAATTTTAAATCCTTTTGTTCGATGCTTTAATTGGGTCTGGCATGTTTCAGATTTCGAATACCCTTATGTTGGGATTGAATTACTTACCGTTGAAAAAAACGGAGAGTTTAACTGTTGACTATTGCTTTCAAAAAATATTTTATACCAGAAATATTCTTTAGGTTGAAAACTACCATTTTTCAGAGTAGATATTATTCGGATGATTGGGTCTACGTTGGAAAATAAAATGAATTGAGAAAAAATGTTTTATTTTTTTATTTAGAAAGCAATATGTATGGAACCAGATTTAAAAAATGTTAAAAACTACTGCTTAACTTGAACGCTAAAGATTCTGTAGTCCGTGTGCACTTATTAAAAATTTTAAGAAAATGAAGAGGCCTTGGGAAATTTAAAAGCATTTCCGGAAAAAGTACCGGTTAATATATACTATGGCACTGCCTTCCTTACACATGTAATAATTACATCCAGGTATATCTTCATTCATATTTGTAAAAAGTCAATTAAAGAACTGGTTTCAAAATGACTAAAACGAAAAAAAACAAAACACTAATACCAGAACAGAAGTGCGCAAATTTTCACAAAGTTAATCAGCGAGTAACATATACTACAGTATCTAAACACGTCTACTTCCTGTTATCGCAATAAATGTTCAAGCTCTCAAGAAAGGTGTTATACGTGCTTGTAATTTCGTATATATACTGTATATCCGAGTAAACTTGTGTTTTGTTACTCCCTGTATCAGCTTGAATTATTTGTTTTAACATACGATAAGATAACAATTATCTATTTATTATTAAAGGTTAATTACCTTAAAGGAATTGCATCAACACGAATTACTCATTCAGAAGTATTTTGTTGACGAATATTGACGTTTTATTTATCATAATTACATATTTACTTGATTGTAGTTAGATTTTTCGCTTTTGACGTTTTATATAGGATTTTGTGACGTATTATATAGGATTTTGTGACGTATTATATAGGATTTTGCACTTCACGCAGATGGAAGAGTTTGTGAAAAAGGTAGGAAATCCTTTCATTTGACATTTTTTTTTCAAACTTGGAGAAAAGAATTTACCATACATTATTTAATCTATTTAATATTAGCCATTGTTATTCTATAATCTCATGCAGATTTTCATTGTAAATAGTTTATTTAATAATATCCTAGAATTTCTAAATTCAACTACATGTTGCCAAACATTATAATGTGTCTAACAATATAGTAAATATTTCATAAAAAACGGTATTTTGAAGTATTTGGATTTTCTTAATGTACAACAATCTTACATTTTAGATTTCAAATCATAATTTTATCCATATTGAAATAGATACAATTAATAAAGTTGAAATCTTATATAATCATCGCACAAGTTTATCAGATCGTTCAAGTTTAACATAAACATAAATATACTTATATGTGCATAACAAAATAGGTAATCGTAAAAACTTTACAGTTATCAAATTTAAAGTAACAACTTAAATGGTTTTCAACCAACTATTCGCGCATGTTATCGTTGGTTTTTACTAAAGATTAACTTTATAGGAGCCCCGTTGAAGGTGATAAATTTTGAAATCTCATTAAGATAAACGCAAAAAAAATGTAATAAAGAAATATACCAAAAAAATTACTTGCACATCTCTTGATATTAAGACTGATTATTTTTGTTAAAAGCGTTTATACGCTTTCATTTTTTGGTCATTTTCAACAATAAAAATGATTATTCTGGATAAACGGAGTGAGCGTATTATCATTCTGAAATATTGCACACAAACTCTCAAGGCACTTTTATAATAAGAATGGTTACTATTATGATTATTTGACCGTAGTGAACTCATCCTTAATGTCCTAATCTAGGCCACAATGATAAAATGATAAATACCTCTAATTTTGCATCATATATCGGTTGAAAATGATAACTATGAAATATACTACTATGTATTCGCTATAAACTTTATTATATTAAATATTAAGATATTATGAAAAGTATAATAACAGTTTCGGTCCGGATCTTAGCCAGCATTTAGTTACCTGTATAACGTTTAAACATGATACAAGTATATTTGTACATTGTACAAAATACATAGTAATCTACATTTTTCTGCTCTTCAGTGAGTCAGTGGCAGAGAACACAGCACATGTCTTTTGGCACAGTATATTACATATCGTTGTGGGCAGATATCATAAAAAAACTCTACTCCAATGATAATTGCAAATCGGCTCTTACTCGGCAGTAATTAGTGTAGCCCCTTTTTCATGAAGAAACCAGTGCTGATAGTGAAAATTGTGATTGGCATTTTTTAATTAGCCAGGTCAGGTGTTTCTAAAAAGGCTGATAACACTGTAGCAATGTGAGGATACATTCAAATTTATTACATAGATAATACACGTGGAGCTCAGCTCGCAGAGACAAATGAGAACACATTAACTTTTTGATATCCTTTTAACTCTAGAAAAATGTTAATTATTAATTACATTGTTTTACATGCCAAAAGTAATTGGACCATACTCTTGTTTCGACGATGATGCTTGGGAAAAATCCTGGGTATTTTTGAAAACTCTTTGTTTTACATCCCAGATTAAGAATTGGCCCCCCACACGGACGCGGGGGGAAAAATAATGTTATGCTTAATTAAAGAGGTGACACTTTCTATATTTTTATCTGATATCGAGTCGTAAGAGCCGATTTGCAGTTATATGGGTAAGAGTTCGATAAGACTCCCTACGGTCGTCTTAATACGAACTCTTACCCATACTTAATCAATGTTTGATATAAATTTCACAATCATTATCAGTATTCATACTATTTGCAAGGTTACGGCTTTCAAATAATAGATACAAAATGTAACATTATGTAATAACAATTATACTAATACCAGAGAGTCATAGAAACTTTCATAAGTTACTCTTGCAATATACATTTATTAATTTGTCTTAAACACTATCTATTACATAGCTTACAAGAAGCAAAGTATCTTTTTGTTTTAACAAGTATCTTTAGCATGATATGAGTTAGCTTGCACCATTATAGAATGCCTCCTAGCACCGGCTTGAGAGGTACTCAAATTTCAACACTTAAAAGTGGTGGAATCAATTATCCTGAAGGACCAGAAAAATATAACAACACTGAAGTAAAGTACATGTATGAATATATTTATATATATTTAAACGCATGACTTGTATCGGTTTTGCGCTTATTGCATATAAAAATGAGATCAAACAATAATGTCGCTAAATAAACTTCTTCATATGAATACCAAGAAAGCATGCAATGCAAATAAATAAAATTTCTTATATGAGAAAGGAATGACATCTACGTATCAACTGATTAAAAAGCCTTAACCTAACATGGAAAGTATTAAAATAAATTATGTTATCATGCAAACGCAATACAAGTAAAGAGGATGTTTCAAATAGAACGAATAAAAGATTGAATCAATAAAGTAAAAGTATGTAAGAGGAAATTAATATCCCATAAATTGTCGAGGGCATGCACATCTTCTTAATATGAAACTATTTAAAACCAAATAGATGTGTTTTGAAAAGTGCATTAAAATAAAATTACAATATTGGAATGTTGACAATTTTCAAATTTTAGAATTTGTATCATTTTTTTTAAATATTAACCATAATAATTTTAAAAACATTCTACATAATTATGACTAAAACGTGCATTGAAATTGATGTCTGCGAAATGAAGATAAAAAACAACAAAATAATAATAATAATAATAATAATAATGATAATAATAATAATAATAATACTAGTAATAATAATAAAGCAACAACGACGAAGACAAAAAGCAACTATGCTTAATTATTATTTGGTATTCCATTTCGGAACGATATTGCAGAGTGCAATAATACATAATAAAATACTTTCATATACAATTCATGTAAGCACTGATGCTAAGTAAAATCATCTTTAAAATAAAATTCGATAATTGTAGATTCTATACAAATACTTGTTATAACAATTGTTATGATAAAAATGATTATAAAGAGGAGTGTGATAATAATAATAATAATAATAATAATAATAATAATAATAATAATAATAATAATAATAATAATATAATAATAATAATAAAATGATTATAATTAATAAATGAGAATAATAAAAATGATAATAGATGAACAGAATTTATTCAAGGTATTCACTTTACAACGTTGTCATTGCATTAGTCATTCAATTTACAAGGTGCAATCTTAATTTATGTGCATAAATATGAGATGAATTCATACATTAAACATACAAAAATAATGAATACATAAAGAAGAAAACAAACTGAACTCACTCCATGCGTGAATTTTGTTTATACAAAAAGGTGTCATAAAAAGTGTTTACTGTAAAAATGTAATTTGTTGGATCATTAGCCGCGTTATTAATGCTACAAAAATATAGCGGGAATATGGGGAAGAATTTATTGAGTGTGTTTTTTAATTTATTACTTTAATGTGTTTATATCTACTTATTTATTCATTTGAAAGCACTATCTGGTACAGGCTGTAGGCAGATATATTAAATGTCTAATCCGGTACGTGATATAATTAGATAAGAAGATGGATTTCATTCAAGATTGGTGTGTTTTTGAATTTCTTTAAAAGGCATTTATGTTACATGGACAGGATCGTACTAAATAATGTTTAACAAGCTTTTCAATAAGTACGTCTTGATGCATCCACACGATAACACGGGATCAATCATTTATATGTGTTTTGTTAATCATTAACAAGTAGAAACATTAATAATTATAAAATATACGGAGATGTCATTTTAATAATTACTAGGCTATTTGCTAAAAAGTTTCTACAATATTTGTAGTTTTCAATATTATTCAGGAGTTGATACCAGTGACAAGATGAGCGATTTAACAGTAGATGGTGCCAGGAGAAAATCCCGGAAATATACTCATGATGTGGATTCTGGATATGCTTGGATAATATTAGCAGGTTTGTATTCTATAATGAAATCTTACTCTCAGTTCAAAATAACAGCTTTACTGGCATAGTTTATTAATTCTTATAATGCTGAATCTGTTTAATGGATTGGCCCTGTTTTGAATTTGAAACTGACCATTTAAATATTAGGAGATTCAAATATCAACATAAAAATAATCGAGCAACCAAACAGACTGCACGGCTGTGCAGGATGGCCTGGCTCTATATATATATTGGTCGAAAAGGATTTTTACCTTTTGGTTCCATCATATTAAGCGGTAATAGTTTTAAAGGAGCCCCCCTGCGGTTCAAAAATACCAAGAAACATAATTTGAAAATCTGAATGAGATCAAACGGGGAACTTAAAACGGGAAAAGGAAAACATGAAACATACAATTAAATAAAATATAATAAAAATTTAAAATTGAAAGATGTATAATAAAAAAGAAAAAAAAATTAATATTATAGTTTTAAAATGTTTAAAATATTTTTTTATCTTATAAAATTTTTTTGATTAATACATGTGTTTATATACTCTTTGTACGGATTTGCCTACATGAAAAGAATAACTTATAAATGTGATATGATAAAGAAAGTATTTATATATAAACGTACACCAATATTCTTTTGAAATTCGGGTTTTAAAATTTTCACTTTAAAATTATGATAAATATAATAATAATCACACTATCTTAATTTGATACAATCAAGAAAATGAAAATAGTAAAAAAGTATACCTTTTATTATACATGTATCTTTTATTCCATCATTTTTCTGATCGTATGAAATAAATATAATTTATCATAAATTATTTTGTGATTTGATAACATGCATGAACTATATTTGTGAACAGTGGTAGTTTTCAAAAACGTTTCTGTGAAACGTTAACTTTCAGTGAATGATCTGAAATATTAATTAATAAATTTATAAAAATTAATAACTTTTTCATTCATTGTTAGTTAACTGATTAATTTATTTATTTGCTTATTTAATGTTCAATTATTTACTCAATTTAATTACATCTTTAATTGTGAATAAAAACACACGATGTTGTTTAAAGAAAATGGAAGTAAAAAGCTATTTTCAATTTATTTGAAATATGAGTTGCTAATTACGTGACATTTGCAATGTCTTATACATGCCCTAAAATTACGATGTATGTCAAATAAGTATGTAAGCATATAGCATTTTTATTGTAAATTATAAAATAACGTAAATTCAGTCTGTTAATATAAAGATTATTGTCAGAAGTAGAAATAAATGTTTAAAAAAAAAACCCATACAAAACACCAAATATTACGAAATTAAAGTAAATTAAATTGAAGGATATATAGAGATGATTTTTTTTGTATTTTTATAACTATTTAGGTATTTCCAGAGGTGGATCTTTTATGAATGCAAGTAATACATAAGCAAACAAAGCTTCAAAAGCTTTTTTCATAACGTCTGCAAATAGTGTATTATGTTCTATCTTGTTTCTTATTGTATAACATCTTTACTGAAGTATTCAAGTGAAGTTTTGGATTTTAATAAAACAAGAGCTATTGTAAAACAAAAACTTTTAATTGTCAAAAGAATTCATTAAACCTTTTATAAATGACATAAAATCATTTCTGTATTAGCGTTAATCCAGATAATTATTTTAAAGAAATGTACAATGTAATTGCAACTGGATTACAGCAAAATATATCGCATTTTTGTACATAAAATTTAATATAACAATGTATATTATTTATATATGTATACATATTGCAAAAGATGCTATCTCATGATATCATTTCTGAATGTCATTATTTATTTTTTATAAAGATTTATTCATGGTATATTTTTGCATTGACTGATCAATACTTTGATGTTTGTTTTTCGTACCAGGATGTTTTGTAATGTACGTGTTTGTGGTAGGCAGTTTGAAGGCGTATGGAGTCTTGTACACCGAGATGGTAGAATATTACTCATCTGGGTCTGGAAATACAGCTTGGATCGGAAGCATAGCTTTGATACTACTCTTTGGCTTAGGTATAATTCAGTATTTTTTTCTAGCCTTCATCCTGCACGTATACTTTGGTCTTTGTTTCAGAACTTTATCACATATAAAGTGACAAGATTTATGAGGTATCATGGCCAACCATTATTCTTGTAAACAAAAAGTCACCGATGAGTAAGCTGTCAAAACGATAAGAAAAGTTGTCTGTATTCTCATCACCTGAACTTAATTTGACGCGGATAAAATGAAGTAAAGAAACAGGCTATATCTTAAACAATTGGCGCATTTGGGATCTAAGACAATTTGGTTAAAGGAACTTTGATGAACCATTTGCACAGTACATGGACCAAAGATCATCTGGTTATAGAAACTATGTCTATGCCTTAAGCCCGTCGTCATGTTACTTGCGGACAACATATGAAATAATACAGGTGTAATACTTCGCAACCTTATCTAAAATATGAAAATATGTTTATGAAAATAAACATGCAATTCCGATGTGACCCAGTGACTTTAATTATTATTCTCTAATAAGGATATTTACATATGCATTCGTGTGTCTGGAATATAAAACGTATGGCAGACGTTAATATGTGTACGAGACAGAAAAATCTAAAATGACGCAATATCACTATAATTAAAGTGTTCGTGTAACTAAAACATATTTTGTCCAATATATATGTAACATTTATAATTTCGCATTTAAGCTGATGTGCGTAGTCATGTATAAAATAAATTTCATTATATCACAATAGTGTAATAATACACCTGATAATTAAAATACGTTTCAAATGCGTACAATGTTCATGGTATAGCTGTACAGTTAAATCATGCATTTCATAACTTGTTTCTTAAAGTACATTTATAACAAGATTAATACTTTCTAAAGCCGTACATATTTAATATTTTATATATAGTTTACAACATGTCTGTAAAATACTTTGGTTTTTATACAAAGAAAATTGTATCAAAGTTAAAATGATTTTTATCGAGATTATATCTTTTATATAATCCTAACTTTCAACTATTTTAGGACCTTTATCCAACCTTTTGTGTAAAATATACTCATTTCGGCGAATTACGTTTATTGGTGGTATATTTTTGGCGCTGGGTTACTGCCTGTCGGGATTTGTTACAAGGATGGAGATGATGTATTTAACGTTCCTTAGCACGGGTTTGTATATTTAACATACAAACTATTTTATATAATTTAAATAAACTGATCTGGGTATGCACTGATAGCATGGATAAATTCAGTTTTTGCATACTGTAGGCATCGTCCGGGGGAAAATTAATAATCAATTCATTGATGATTGTAATCTTGTTACTAACAATGAATTAAAATTAAAGCTTTAACACTCTTTACTCTCAGATAATTTACTTTTTTCTACCCATCTTTGTTATTCACTTAACTCTGTCAGTCGATTTTCCTAAATGATATAACATATTTCTTTAGGTAAGGGGATAAATTGATTACTAGATTTTTAAAAAAAATTACAATTTATGCATGGTTTTAATTATATTTAAAGTTTATCAGATGTTAAATGGTATGAGTTTATTGATAATTAAGTAAATTGTAAAGAGAAAATTCAAATAGATTAATTTCAGGCATAGGATATGGACTCGTTTTTGCGCCATCTTCCACAATCATAAGTTTCTATTTTGAAAAGCGGCGAGCACTTGCCAACGGGATAACAGTTTCCGGTAGTGGCTTGGGAGCAGTAGCACTTCCGTTTCTTTACAAGTATGTCGTTTCCTGGATAATTAGACCTTTCATTTTTTATAAAGTATAAAATAAAGTATGGATAATATGCTTAGAAAACGTTCATTTAAGATATCATCTTTATTAAGAATCAATCCTGTCATCGGACAAACTCTTTAAGATACCGATGATTTTACGCAAGTATCGTATTATACAGTCAACTTTTATATACTTATTTGTCGACTATTTGTTAATCAACACATCGAAATCGATTTAGAATATTATGTATTTATCATTTTGTTGCCATTCTCCTTAATTCTTCAAATGACAGTACGACATTGGCATTAAAAACACAGAGATTTAAGTGTTTTTCCACAATATTTCAGGTTTCTTATTGAGCAATATGGTATACAGGGTATGTTCTGGATAAGTGGAGCTATTTTTGCAAATATATGTGTAGCAGCTTGCATATTTCGCCAACCAAGTGAATTTAGTATAGAAACAAGTGAAAGACCACACCCGTTAAGAACTAGTAACACGCGAAATGACTGTGATAGTGAAGAAAACCAAATGTCCATCGATAGTGATGTAAACAGAACAGCTAAAAAACTGGAGAAAATACGTTGTAAAGATTTAGATCTAAAATTCTCCCTTTTTAGACGTCCATTGTTTACTCTATATGTATTATCTTTTATGTGTTGTGCATTTGGATTTGCTGCTAGTATCGTGCTCATTCCAGCAAATGTAAAAGCACTAGGATATGATGACACCCACGTGGCTTTAAGTGTAACTATTCTCGGAAGTGTGGAAGTGGTAGCTAGAATACTGATGGGGTGGGTTGCAGATTTAAATATCATTCAGCGGAAATATATGTACGCGGGTAGTATGTTTATTGGAGGGATCGCCTCGGTTCTAGCTCCTTGTTTCGGACACTTTAATTTTATGGCTGTGTACGCAGCAATTGTGGCAACATTTCCAGGTTCATATATGAGTTTAGTTTCGGTGCTTCTTATAGAGGTTGTAGGATTAGAAAACTTTTCGCCAGCTTTTGGACTACTGTCGTTGTCATTAGCAGTTGCAAATATTCCTAGTCATCCTGCAGTCGGTAAATATTAGCCTTCAAATTAATAAAATATTTCACATTTAGTTTGAATTATAATGGTTGCAACTACGAACGGAATGTTAAATGGATATTTTCCATTAATCAAAACTTTATTATTTTCTTAAGCTTACTATTTTGATAGTTATACATTATTATATTATTTTAGCATTTAGTTACTAAACTACAATTACAAAGTACTAGATCTATTCCATATAATAATTATATGATTAAATATATTTCTGTCGATGTAATAATCATTGCCATGACAATTGATTCTTAATATAACGGTTGCAAGGAATATGTTACAGTCACAATGAACAATGTTTTACCTAATAGTGCATTCATGATATAAGTTAAGTGTTATCCATATTGTTTCTAACCCAACACATTGCTGTACATGATCACATTTAACACTATTTGTACAGTTATTTAATTATTAAGCCAATTTAAACGTTAATTGATTGTCTCCATTTGAGTAACACCATGCTTATGCACAAATGACATGTGTCTAGGTCTAATACTTTTAGACATTTTTTTCTGAAATAACGCTTTTAAAGAACTTTGTTACGACCAAATATCCCCAATTAATTATGAATGATTCATTTACAGTTACTTGCATACATACATATATTTGAATACGATATTTATTTTCTTTTGTTACAGGTTGGTTGTATGATATTTACGGTAACTGGGGTCCTTCATTCCTGCTCACAGGATGCGTGTACATTTCAGCTGGCGTTATCATAATGTTAGAACCGATTGTGGTTCGTGTTTTCAATATAAAAACTGACAATAAAAACTCAAATCTGCAGGATAATCAACAGATGAACCAAGATCAATATATGTGACTGTTAACATTTACAGAAATAGTGCAATTTTACTACAATCATTCGGGATACAAAACGTTTGTTAAATTGTTTTAATTTTGCTGTTATTATTTTATGTATAACGTATTTTAATTCTTGTTGACAGTAACTAATGAAAAGATAAATAAAATGTTACATAAAGAAAAGAAATGAAGTTTTATAAATTTAACCTGTAAAATTCATCAGTTTCCGATATTTCTATTACTGTCAATGATAATAAGGCATATGTTGTGTTTGATAAAACAACAGCAAAGGTTAATTTATAAGAAAAAAACAATTAAGGAAACATTGAATATTAAAAAAAGTTCACAACGCAATTCTTGTAAAGAAAATTACATTTGACACGTGTTTGACATGGTTTGAGAGAGAGAGAGAGAGAGAGAGAGAGAGAGAGAGAGAGAGAGACGGAAACAACTGCTAAAGAAACTTTGTAGGCGCCAATGAACATTAACTTTCAGTCAAATATATGTGATATAATCATATATTTTTTAAATACTGTTAATCTCACTTTATTAAGACAAATATCGTAACCGTAGTTACTACATGTACAGTTATTTATTTATGTAATTTTGTTTAAAAATGGTGGTTTACAGAATTATTATTTGTTTAAAGCAGCATACTTTCAGATTCATGCTTATTTAAATGAAAATTTTGAAAATGTATGAAAAAGTAAAATATTTTCATATGAACAAAGAAAGTAATTTTGGATACAATTTTACATGATTATGTCAACTATATACATGTAATGTGATATTTAAGATAACATTAAAAACTATAAACTGTGTGACTTGATTTAAACATATTTTATTGCTCTTTTTACACATTTATAACATTATATTATCATAGTATAAATACAAAAGTAGCAAAAGGGTTGAACCACGAGTTCTTACAACATCAGCAAACGGTTCTTCCCTGATATATTGAATTATCTAATAATAATAAGACAGTTACAAACCAAAATGTATGATAGTAGAGCAATTAGGGAAAAATGCACAAGGAGAAAGAAGAAGAAAAACATTATATAAAAAGAAAAGAAAAAAAGGGGATAGAGTTCAGTAAGTAGGGATATCAATTGAACGTGGCAAGTAGTACAGATAATATAAAAAAATTAAGATTCAAATCTACACGATAATTTAATAAATAATTGTACCTTATCAAAAATAAATAAGTTATTCTCATCAGAAAGAGATTCTTTTCCAAACAAAAGGGTCTTTACGCTCAAAGGATGGAAACTGCGAGTTGAGCGGAATAACTGCACTCTTATTTCGTTATATTTGGGACATTTAAAAAAGTAATGTTCGGCATCTTCAATACTGGATGTACAGTAGCTACAAAGTGAGTTATCTCGTAGATGATTTTTACAAAGATCCGCATTAAGATTACTACATTCGTTTCTAATACGTGCATGGTAAACAGATAAACTTCGATCTCCGTATACAAAATATTTAGGAACAGTATGTGGTTTATAAATTTCTTTGAGACGAGATTTAAAAATATTAATATTAAGAGAAGCCGCATGTCTAATATGATCATCCAAATTGTTCCATAACTCTATGGATGAAGGAATGAAAGATTTTGCGAATATTTGTGTTCTCCGTGCGATTGTCACATAGTTGTTATCATTTCGGAGGAAGTATGGAGTAGAATTAGCGACACTATTTGGGAAAAGATTGAGTAAGTAGCTTGGAACATTGTTTTGATGGGCTTTGTAAACTATTATTAATTTTTGCACAATTCTTCTATCCGACAAAGATACCCAGCCAATTTCTCTAAGTAATCGGTCTATAGATACCGATCTAGTTAGGCCTGTGACAACACGCGCTGCTTCATATTGCATCTTTTCAAGAGAATGTTTATCATTTTCATTACAGCCATCCCAAACAGTGGAGGCATATTCGAGGATTGGTCGCATATATAATAAATAAATTTGGTTTAATGTATTTCGTTTGAGTTTAAATTTCAATGATTGCATTGAGCTTAGAACTTTAAAAGCTGATGTCATAATATTATTAATGTGTTCGTGCCATTTTCCATCTTCACTCAATGTAAGTCCAAGATGTTTATGCGTTTTAACATAAGTAAGTTGGGTATTTTCAAAGAATAGAGAAGGGCGTTGTTCATCATTTAAGGAAAAAAACATTACTTTTGTTTTATCTGGATTAAATTTAATTAACCACTGATGAGACCATTCTTGAAGAGTATGTAGATCGGTATTTAATGTGTTTTCTATAAAATTCATATCGACAACGAACTATCATCTGCAAAGAGGCGGGTAATGCTTAATTGATTATCCGCAATATCATTAACGTAGATTAGAAATAGCAACGGACCCAGGACTGATCCCTGGGGAACGCCCGCAGTAGTTATTTTCTCACTTGAGAAAGTTGAATTTACAAAAACTTTTTGGTGCCGATTTAAAAGATAGTTGCTCAACCAATTTAATATATCGCCATCAATACCGTATTGCCGCAATTTAAATATAAGCCCTTTGTGCCATACCCTATCGAATGCTTTCGAAATGTCACAAAATATCATACATGTAGATTGTTTTTTGTCAAAGGCTTGAGTAATTTGATGATAAATATCAATAAGTTGAAAAACGGTGGAATGACCCGGTAAAAACCCAGACTGTTGGTGATATATAAGATTATTAACATGTAAATGATTATAAATGTGCTTAAAAACAATTCGCTCAAATACCTTACCTACACAACTTATTAGAGAAATGGGTCTATAATTCATAGGCATGTTTTTACTGCCCTTTTTATATATTGGCATTACAACTGCTGATTTCCATGAATTAGGGTAAATATTTTCGACTAGAGATCTGTTAAATAAAATACCTAGTGGAGCACATAAACTGTGTGACACAGAAAAATGAGATACCATATATGAGATCCATGTTTTTTTTCCCTTTCCATTGTAGTTGTACTCTAGATAATAGGTTAAACAATTTTTATCTTTGAAAAGGTTATACAGAATCGACCATAATGTTGTTGGAGAAGAAATGCACGAAGGGGCACCTGAGGTCTTCTTCCACCTTGCCCCGTGTTAACAAAGATTTCCGATCAGGATCAAGATCAGGATCAAACTTAAAAACTCAAGTATTCATGTTGTTTATCCCCATAGATTAAATATCTAATATAAATAAGGTACAACTTGATTTGCAATAGCAAGTTTATGAAATTTTAGAATAAACTTATTGTTATTTTTTTTGCAAAATACAGCCATTTTACAGTTGATCCAAATATTGATCCTGATCCTAAAATTGATCCTTATTTGGATCGAAATATTTTTGTATTTGCTTTTTTGTTGTTGTTTTGGTCCCAAAATAGGTTGGTTTCTTTGCAAATCAGCAATATTTTACATTTTTGAATATATACCAATTAGAAGGATACATCTTTTACTTTTTTGGATTTTAAGCTCTGGCGGTATTCCTTTTCAGCGGACCGGAAACATTAAATCAATTTTAGAAAAAGATAACTAAAGGATATTTTATGTAGTTTCATCAAAATCTATCAAGTGATTGATGAGATGTCATTTAAGCGTATTTTAGTTTTTAGTAAAAAACTACCTTATTATCATTTCTGTAGTTTCAACAAACTACAAAGTGGGCGAGGAGGAGAAGCCGTTAAACGATTTTTCAATTTAAAGAATTGGCAGCCATTTTGTTCAGTGCGCCGGCTGCAGTATAGCAAATTTTAGTAAAGTTTCATCACTATTGGTCAAGCACTTTAGATTTTAATAAAAATGTCAATGACGGACAACGGACACATTGAGATCATAAAAGCAGTATGTACTCCAAACTTCTCATAGTGATTTGATTGGCTACACTTAAGTCACTGACTTTACACACTTCACGTGACCATAAAAAACGGCATGTGACTTCAAAATGGAGGCGACTAAAACTACTCAAGTGAAAACTGTTTTAGTCGAAAACGTCTGGCAAAAAACAAACGTTATATTTGCTATTTTGGAAAGAAAACTAATAAAACCAAACTAATTCATGAAATGAATATAATTCCAGGCAAAAATTGCAATTACAAGCATGCTGCTTTTATTTTACTAAGATAAACAAACAAACTAGAACAACAGGACTAGATGTACCCGCATCATAATAATATATATTTTTTAATTTCCGTTTCCAATATAAGCAAACATTAGCGAAAAATGTCATTTTATGATATATACAAAAAAAATATCACAATCAAAATAATTATTCTGTATGCGTTCTAATCAAAATTTTGATAAAAAAATCTTGAAATAGCAGTGGTTTGGGTAGCGAAACAAAGGGGGTGGGCGCTACGTTGGAGATTGTTTTATGCTCCTGTGAGCTAAACATTCAGTTTGATATCTTAATAAATCATGTTCATTGTTTATTTTTAACTGATCATGCATGTCTTAGAATTCATGCAAAAAAAACCAAACAACAACAAACAAATCTAATTAAATCAAGTTTATTCACCCATACACGTTACAAACATGGATTGTATATGTAGCAATCATTTTAAAACAGCACTAAGTATCAAATTATATAGAGAACAATCGTTATACATAATAATTAGATTAACCCTCTATTATTTAAAGTAGTAATACTGATCAGCAATATGAAAAAAACATAATAATAATGTAAAATTTCAAAGCTTAACATAGGTAGAAATCATATGGCATATATCAAAAAATATTTACATATACTGCCGATGGAAACGGAATTTTGTACTTTTAGAATTGGCGAACATTCTCCGTTGCCTGTAGCAAGTTTACGGCAGGAATCATAATTTGTTAATTGCATATCGGCCGGAAAACCAAAAATAAACGGATATATGTTAAAAACAAATTGGACTAAACGGCATTGTCGATATAACATAGTGAACTTTAGTGTATTTGCCGCGGTGGTGTAATCGGGAAATTACCTTATACACGCTGAATACTATGTGCTACATTCACCTTATTTAACATTCAAACTTATAAGAAGCTAAGCTTATCCGCTTAGCTTTGCTTGGTGGGCAAGTGTAGGTCTATAGAAAACGTGTTCTTGTGTTTTGAGCATAAGTTCCTCATGACAATTTGAAATGAAATATTTTGAATAAAATAATTTGTACTACATCTCTGATTCTTATGGAGAATGGAGAAGTTTGCTCTTGCTAACCTCCGATTTATAACCGCCACTTATAACTTAAACACTATAAGAAAGCGGCGTTTAACCAACTACGCATTATTATTATCATTTATTACATATTATATATGATCTGTTCTAGTATTTTTTAGTGATGCAATTATAACAATGTCATCAATATTGTTAAGTTTTCATTTTTTGTAGCTCTGCATATTGTTATGCAATTTCACCATAGTTCATTTTCGAAATTAATTTTTGAGCAATGTCTATCTATTTCCTTTCAACTTTTCATATTTCACTAACCAAATCTGAAATGCGCAGACGACTACGCTTTCGCTTCGTTTAGCCTGCCATTGTAGTTTCTAACATTCGAATTATATCACGTGACACTATTTCTGTATTTTTAAGTGAACTACGTTCGTAACACTCCGGAAAAATAGGAACGTTTTCATGACCATGAAATATTTTCGGGAATAACAACCGCGTCTGTATCTGTTACTTTTTCAGTCATTTAAGTATTTTTTTTGTAAATGGCGATAACTATATGTAAATAAACACAAATGATAACTATATTATGCTTTATTTTTGACCAGTATTATTACTTTAAATAGATGTTCCAATTATTCTATATTAAGATCGTTACATTAGAATTTTCAAGTTATTAGT